TGTGAACTGCTCGTACTCTCCCCTGAGGACTGTGCTCAGCTGAATGCTCCGATGGAGGTGGAGGAGGTGAAGAGGACGATCGCCTCCCTCCCCACGGGCAAGTCGCCGGGACCTGACGGGTTTTCTTATCTATACTACAAGACCTACTCGCACCTGCTTGCCCCATACTTGACGAGACTTTATAACCAATTCTTAGGGGGTCGCCCTATCCCGGCCTCCTTTCTGCAATAATTCCTATTCCATATATTTTGGCAGTGCGGCCGGATCAAGCCGTTCTGGAGGAATGTACTGTATTGGAGAACCTTCTTCATCGTAAACTCTCGTTAGACCCGCTACACTTCCTATTGGGCCTCCCCCTGACAGGGTTACATAGGTACGATAAAAAACTGGCATCACATGTGTTGACAGCGGCTAGATGTCTCATAGCCCTCCATTGGAAGTGTAGTACTCCACCTTCAGACCTGGATCTTTACACTAGAATTAAGGATGTTCAAAAACTTGAATACTTAACTGCTAGGATGAACAACACCTGGAAGCTACATAACAAGGTGTGGGAAGCCTGGGATGCACTGGAACTCGCTGGTTGTAATGGATGAAGGACCGGGAGAGTCTAGCCAGATGTTTGGAGCCGTGAGACGGAGCCGCTATCTACCCCTTTTTTTTATCTACCCTTCTCTCTAACCTTTATCTTCTGTTATCTCTCTTCTCTCTGTCTCGTATCTTTGTTCTCCCAGGGCTGTTTCCTGGGGACTTTGAGTTGTTTTCAATTCTAAATAATAAGGCCTGGCTGCTGATCGGAGCCCGAGAGCGCCCCTTTCAGTATTGTAATTTTACATTATAAACTACTGTCCCGCGTTAATGCTGCACGGAGATAGTATATGTGACACATGGATATACCTAATTGCTTTTTCTGTTTACACTAACAACAGCCCTAGAGTGTCAATGTTTATACGCCCTATAGAGGTTGCATGTACTTCGCCTGGCTCATGGTTTGTGGCCGCAGTGGGTTTGATGTAAGTTGCTGGGTACTGCACAAGGTAAAAAGCTGGCTACGGTCTGTGTGCTACCTTACCTTATGTTTTATATTTCCTGTTATGTGTTACTTTTGTATTCCTTGTATGCAACAACTGTAAAGAAAACTTAATAATAAAAATTGTCAATTTGAAAAAAAAAAAAATGGGAGACACTCTCCAAAAGTCCTGGTGGTGAGCATGGGAGGAGGTGACGAGGGTGCTGGAGAACAGGAGATTTTGAGAGGAGTGCAGAGGATGGCTTGTGTGATATTTTGAGATGAGGTTGGTGACATAGCTGGGTGCAGAGTTGTAGATGGCTTTGGATGTTGTTGTTAGTATTTTGAATTTTATTCATTAGGCAAGTGGGAGTCAGTGTTGAGATTTTTTTTTTAAATAATATTTACTTTATTTTTATTCCAAACAAACAATTATACATTTTCTTTATATCCATAAATAAAAATTCCTATGTATATCATGCCCAAGCTATATCCAGCTTCGTTTCCTCCTCTCTTCACAATCTTTCATTATTTATCAGTTCTAATCATATCCTCTTACATTGATATCATCACCCCTCCACTTTGTACCTCGATAAGTGTACGTAAACATTTAAATGTGCGAGATATTGTATGCCATACATCTCTCAGAGAGAGAAGCAGAGAGCTCTTCTAAGTCCCACTGCTCTAAATCCAAGAGCTCCTATATGCATTTTACATTTGATAACAAACTACCAACAAAATAGGACAGTACAAGACAACACAAGCCAAGACAAAAAAAACACAAATGGGGGACACCCTAGAAGTCTGATCTCTATTTAATTTAATCCTCTTTTTCAAGAAATCCACATACGCTGGGTGAGGTTAGAAATTCCCTCCATGTGCCCCATATTGTTTCATAGACCTGAGTGGCCTCATTAAGCTTAGCAGAAAGTTCTTCCATGCGCATTAGAAAATTTACTTCTATTATCCAATCTTTAATTGCAGATATCTGAGGTGAATTTTACAGTCTGGGTATGGGAGCTCGGGCTGCCGCTACAAGAAATCGAATTACCCCGTACCGAACTACTTTAATTGATCCTGGGATAATTAAGAATAATGCTACCTCCGGTGCTCCAGGGATCCCCCCTCCTACCACTTGATTTATTATCTCAAAGATGGTTTGCCAATAGTATTTCAACTTTCCACAAGCCCACCAAACATGTAACATGGTCCCCTTTTTTATCCTGCAATGCCAACAAGTCTCCGATACTGATGTAGAATATTTTGCGATACGATCTGTGCACTTATACCATCGCATTAAGATCTTATAATTTCTTTCTTGTGTTCCCGCATCTATGCTAGCTTTGAACACTAATAAAAAGGCCTTATCCCATTCTGCAGACCCGACTCGATAACCCAATTCTCTCTCCCATTCTTTTACCACAAAAGGGCAAGAGGGGGACATATGTGATATAAGAATATTATACAGCCTTGACAGAATATGTGAGCCCCCTTTACTTTTCAGACAAAGGTCTTCTAAAGGCGTCAGTGGCCTCCTCATTGATGCAACTGATGACAGATTAAGATAAAAATATTTAAGCTGAAAATAACAACCATTGAGTGCCCCTCTGTCCTGTCTCAGCTACTAATTCTTCAAAGGATTTCAGACCCCATTTCATCAGGCCCTGTACAATTGGAGAAGGTTTTCCTCATGTCCAGCACAAGAGACTAGTTACCTCCAAACCTGGCGGAAAGGCCTTATTTCCCAGGATAGGAGTCATAGGGCCCACATATGATGAAATCTGAAGTTTCTGTACTGATCGGTACCATATCTCCAAAAGTACCTGGGTTAATGGCGACATCACATGGGAGTCAGTGTTGAGATTGGCAGAGAGGGGCGGCGGACATGGAACGTTATATTTAAAAGCAAAGGATATTGATTCATATCCCACACAGCTTTGAGGCAGCGATCATTTTCTGTACATTACGTGATTGAAAAGGACTACCACATATAATGAAAATGACAGGACTGACTTCGTGGAATGTTATCTTTACATTTCAAAAGGTTTGTAAGAGTTGATTAGTGGCCCTAATAAAGTTTGTTTAGTTTCACTGCAGGCACACAGACAGCCAAGGTTTCATTACAAGCTGTTCTGATTTTATTGTTGTGCACTTGAGTTTTTACATAAACATGTATGTGTATACATGTGTCTACATTAGCATGTATGAGGAAATGAGGTTGCAATAAGTAGAACATGGGTATTCCAGGAAAAAAATGTAGGAATATGCATTTGTGATAGAGAGCAAATGGGAGTTAATGTGTACAAAAAGAAAGAAGATTAGTATGGACTGGAAAGCATACACATACGTACAAAATGGATGTAATCTATATAAATATGTACAAGGTTCATAAATGTTAAAATCGCTCTCACACTGTCAAAGATTATCGAGACATAGTGTGACAATGTTCAAGGGAACAAACAGGGATGTTGATAAACAGACACAATTTCGAGTACATTTTAAACTCTCCTTAATCAACATGTTTATGTCCTCAATATGTGTATGTTGTAGGGATTCCCTATTTCCTATAACACACATTAGGACTTTACATTAAATCTTCACAATTCCTGGATTCATAAAGAATGTCATAGACACATTAGAAATCTGTCTCCTCTGCGTGCAACAAATGGCGCACCTTGCAGCAGATTCATGTAACTGTTAGTAACGTAGAAGTGCTTCGGGCAGAATGTTGTTTTTGACGCAATGCATACAAGTTTACTCCAACATGGAAGAGGTCTTATTTACCTCCACTTTTCTTATCACTGATATAGATGTATTTCTTAATAAATGTGTCACTGTCATAGCACCAAAATGTAAAAGTGCTGCACATAAGAACTACCTGAATTTGTTGAAAGTAAGGAAAAAAATGTAAATATCATTGATGAAATCCTGGGAGATTTGCAGGGTTATTCACAAAAGTTTGAAGAGTTTGGAGAAGGCAGGAGAAGTCAACAATCTAGGACAACATAGCTGAACTGGAAAGTGAGCTGGATTGGAGAATGTTTCCAAACCAGCTATTTTGGCCTAGATTGTTCACTTCCCCTGCCTTCTCCAAACTCTTCACCCTTTTGTGAATAACCCTGTTAGAATATTTGTATCTCATCTACTGGCATGCAGTTTTTGGGAGTACTGACACATTTTAGGCTGTGTCGCGAACCAGAGCACCTGCTGGTGGCACTGTGGTGCATGGATCTGAGGCACGCAGTTCCAGTATCCAATAGCGGGTGTCTCTCAGCTGGTAAGGTATTTAGTCCTTCCTTTCTATGCTCACTTTGCCTGTCTACTTTGTTCCTGAGCTGCTAGCTGCTACCCTCTTGACCTGGCTCCTGACCCTGATTTCTGTGTTTTCCTTGATACTGGCTCTATGGTATTTCTGCTATTTGTTACCTGGCTCTGCTTATGCTACTACCTGTCTTTGTATTGCATATATTAGAGAGAATTGATCAAAACTGGAGCAGATTTTCACTGCAACCAATCATCTTCTCTGTCTCATTTTCAAATCTTAACTGAGCAAACTGAAGAGAGATTCTGATTGGCTGCCCTGGGCAACTGCTCCAGATTATGTTTGATGGTTGTTGTCACTTATATTGCTCACAATAAAATGTTCTTTTTTCACTTATACTTGTGGTCCAGTGTCTGTGGTGCTAACACCTGTTTACAGGATATCTGCAAGCTTTAAAAAACAAGAGCCCTTTTTTGCTGTTGCTTACACTGTGATGGTCATCAGACATCCATAGATTAGCATTTCTGCTGAATGTTTTGGCAGCAAGTTTTACCTTAAAATTGTACTGCATATGTAATATGCGACTGTGGCTCATGGTCCCAGGGAGACACGAAAGCAGCCACTATGTACTACAAAGTACTACATTCATCTGGCGATTTTATGGGCTAGATAGCCCCTTAAATAAGAACCACAAGATTATTATGTGAATTAATGATTAATGTGAATGGTTCACAGTTTAGCCAGCACATTGATGGAAGAAGACCCGGTGTGTAATATTTTACCTGAAAGTATGATCCTAAATGATTTTTTAAACCATGGATAAAATAGAGCATAGATAATAGGATCAAGTGCAGAATTAAAATAACCAAGCCATAATACAACATTATAAAAATCAACCGATACTGAGAAATTAAGGTAAGGATCAGCTATAGTTGTAACAAAAAAAGGCATCCAGCACAGTATGAAGACCCCCATCACGAGGCTTAGTGTCCTTGCCGCTTTACTTTCTACTTTTATTGACATTCTATTCTTAGTGTTGTTTTTTTCACTTGTAGAATTAGAATGGTTATTAATCGCCTTGGCTTGTTTTTTTGCAACAGAGAAAACACGTAAGTAAATTCCAATCATGAGGCTACCTGGGAAAAAGAAACAAAAAAATGAGGTGATTATGCTCCATAGTTTGTTAAAAACAAGGGAGCATGAATCACAGCAATCTGGTGGAGGTTCACTCCCTTGCAAACCTTCCATGTTAGCATTGGAAAAAACAAGGCCAAATGAATACACACATGGAATGGTCCAGCTAATCAGTAAACAGACTTCAACTACCGATATTGTTATTTTCCTATAATAATGAAGAGGGTGACATACTGCAAAGTATCGGTCCACAGAAATGAAGAAGAGGTGGAATATGGAGGATGTACACAATGTCATATCAATACAGCTGTGTAGTGTGCAAAACATTTCTCCAAAATACCAGCATGAAGTTACGGATCTCACCGAGCTATACGGCATCACTAATAGTCCAAGGAGGAAGTCCACAACTGCCAAGGATAATATGAGAAAGTTGGTTGGGGTGTGAAGCTGTTTGAAGTGAGTGATTGAAACAATCACTAAAAGATTACCTCCCACTGTAAGTGCTACTGCTCCAAACATGATTATATTCATGGCAAGGTCAATAGGAAGAGGTCTGTTAGATACAGCACAGGAGATGTTCAACTCCTCAAAGCGTACATTTGCATTTTGCTTGGCCTGGAGATCAGACATATTATAATTTCCTTGTTATAGCATCTGGATCAAGTCACTCTAGAAGAAAAAAAAAAATATTAAAGGAATGTGCTTTCCTGGTTGACTTTCCTGGTTGACTTTCAGCTTTCATGCTTTTTATTTGCTTGGGAGATAATATCCTTTAACAGAATTACTGCACCCCAAGCATAGAGGTTAAGTACATAATTTGGCAGTAATGTAAACCTGCATTTATTTCATACATACAGGTAAATAAAAACAGAAACAGATGTTTCCCTTGAAAGAAGACCATTCCTGTAAGATTTATATAGCCCTTTCACGTGGAAATTCGGATCAGGTCTGTTTTTCAGGTTTCAGGCGGATCTGATCAGAAGTCTGATGTTAGTCTATGAGCAGCCTGATATAAACGAACATTCATCTGTTACATCCAATTAACCGACTACAGCCAGGTCCAGAAAACCAAATGGAACAGAGTTCTGTTTTGGCAGACCTGATCATAGTGGATTGGGGGGTACTCTGATGTAAACAGACATGTCCTTTTACATCTGGCTTCCCATAGACCAACATGGGTGCAGTCATTTAATTTTTTTCCTCCATGGAGAAAAACTGGACCGACACGGATGTCACATCGTGGACTTTACGTGGATCCCCTGTTAATCAGAACTGAAGGTGCCCATGTAAAAGGGTCGTGCTGACCCTCTGGCTTCAGTTTGAATCAGTAAACCAGAACAAGTATGTAGATAATGACTTCTGACTTTACTTTGACAATCCTATTCTACAGTCTTGTTCCATGTCACTGACTCAGCATGAATGAAAGCCAGAAGCTTAGCATAAAAGCAAGGAGGAAGTCAGTAAAAAGTTAGCACCCATATTTCTCTTAGTTTACTTTAACTTGACACTTAAAGGGAAATGAGGACTTCCGGTTCCGGCGCCAGATGAACTAGCGGTGTTCACCGCAGCTCCGACCCCGCCACATCCTAAGACCGCAAATCTGCCCCGAATCACCCCGTGAACAGGTCACCTGATCGCCTCTCAGCTGTCTGGACGACATGGACAGGTTCGTGGCGCGCTCACAGCCAGTCCGCCGCTAGCTCTCCTCTCCTTCGGCTCCAACTGACATGCGGCCTGACAGAAGATTCCGACAATGACATAGCCGATGCAACGGCACTGGGTGAGCTGGATGTAACGCCTCCCCCGCCCCATATTGACTATCAGTAGCTGACGGCCGTGGTAGCCGCACATCTGAGGGCAGACATGGGGACCATCATAGCTGATTCCCTGAAACTGCACATGGGACCCCTCACAGCGGCCATAGAAGCCCAGACCACCAGGCTGCAGGCCCTAGAAACCCACATCAGTGATTTAGAAGACCATGCATCTAGGTCTGATAGGTGATTAACTGAGGATCAAAAAGCGATTCAATACTTACAAGACAAGGTGGATGACCTTGAAAACAGGTCCCGCAGAAACAATCTTAGAATCATTGGGATCCCTGAATCGATTAAGCCTATAGATCTGCAGCACTTTTGCTCCTCCATTATTCCCAAAGCCATGGGTATTACCTCTCATTGTGCGGTGGAAAGGGCCCACAGAATGGGTCCCCTCAAAGATGCTGATAGACCCAGGCCAGTCATTGTCCGACACTTGGACTATTCAGACAAACACCGTCTTCTACAAACCTACAGAATGCAGCGCCAGCTGACTGCGGGGGGTCACAAGTTGCTACTTTTTGCTGATTATTCAGCCGAATTGTCTAAATTGCGTCGCTCCTTCCATGAGGTGTGTCAGACCCTCGTACACAGAAGGATCAAATTTGTCCTGGCTTATCCTACGCCTGACAGAGCCGGACGGCAACCAAACACGCTTCACGTCTGCTGCCCAGGCCAAGGCATACGTAGACAGGCATTTATCTGACTCCACAGCTACTCTAACTCCCCTCTTAAGAGTCCACCACGTAAAAAGAAGCCCTGAACAACCAAGGGGCAAATGCTCCTGACGAATCCTCCGTGGGCCAGCGACTCAAGCAGTCACCTTGCCGATACAGCCCATAATAAGTTACTGCTGTTCTGCAGTTATATGTGACATCTAAGTCTCACGTTTATACTGTTTACTCGGTTTTGTTTTTATTTTTTATTTTTCCTCCTCTGCATAGGACTTCCCCCGTAAGTGGCGGGGCGTAGCGACCGGAAGCTACCTGTTCTACTATCACGCTGGATCTCCCAGGGTTGGATCCTATCCCCCTGCCTGATGACCGATTCAACACACACCGTCATCTGGAAAAAAGGAAGTCAATGAAAGGTATATGCACCTACCTTACCTATTTGTTCTGTTTACTTCATAGACTTACCATGCTCCAAGTTAGGAGCATCGCCATATGGATGACCAACTCTCTACATGTTATACTCTCCTCCCTTGGTATCGTGGGATCCGTGACCCAGGGTCGTGCCCGGAGCACTGGGACACCTGTAACGACTCTTTTTCTTTCTTTAACGTTTTTCTACGATTTCAAAGTCATACAGATTTCTTCAAAGCTATGTGAACCTCCTTGAAAGTCACCTCTTGGAACGTCAAAGGGCTCCGGACGCCGCAAAAAAGGAGACAAATCTTACGCCATCTCAAAAAACTAAAAGTGGACGTCACTCTATTGCAAGAAACTCACCTCCACCGTGAAGATATTAGCCGCCTCAAACAGTCCTGGGTGGGAACTGCTATAGGGGCACCATCCAAAGGTCGCTCTGTAGGTATGACAATTCTCCTAAGTAAATCCTTGCCCTATTCTTTACTATCTCAGCAGCACGATCTGACGGAGGGCAGATGGTCACATGTTGTTATCCAAATAGGACAAAATACTTTTGATATCTGGAACGTTTACGGTCCTAATGCAGACAATAAGTTCTTTTATGATCGCCTCCTATCTCGCCAATCACCAGCCGCCCCTGATACTTACGTGCTTGTGGGGGGTGACTTTAATGCGGTTCCAGTCAACCTCTCACAGGACCGGAACCTGTCTGCCATGATCCAAGCCGGAGGCCTTGTGGATGCCTGGCGCTTTCTACACCCATTGGATCGGGACTATTCCCATTTTTCCCATGCCCATGACTCTCTCTCTCGCCTGGACTTGATCCTTATCTCTCCCAACCTGATGTCTAAAATTGCCGCTGTGACTGTGGAAGACATGGTTATATCTGATCACGCTCCGGTGACAATTGAACTCCACCACTTGGGCATGTCCCCCAGGCCGCTGGTGTGGCGCTATCCATCGTACTTGGCCACTGATGACACGTTCCAGGCTCATCTGACATCCTGGTGGAATGACTATGCTTCTGAAAATGCCATACATAGAGAAGACCCTATCCTCTTTTGGGAGAGGGCAAAGGCTGTCCTGAGAGGCAGAATTTTGGCCTATGTCTCCTCCCAGGCAGAGATATGTGGTGGCATGCACGACGGCTAGGACAGCGTACTTAATCATATAGACAGGACCTGTCCCTTCACAACAAATCACTGTGGACACAGGCTAAACAATCTTGTGATCACTGGATTGCCCAGTATGATCTACAAATTCGTTCCCACAAAGATGTAGAATATTTCAAATTTGGCAACAAATCCGTCAAATTATTAGCTAATCTAATCCGGGGACATTTTGTTCCCTCCCACATACTTAAACTCGCTAACGATAGGGGAGTGATCTCCTCAGATCCTTCGGAGGTTTGTGAAATATTTCGCACTTATTACCAATCCCTGTACGCAGCGCACAACGGAAATGCTGCCGCAGGCTCGTCTTTTTTAGAATCTGTCTCGTTGCCTTCCCTGTCTGCTGCTGATCGGGACCTCTTGAATGCTGAAGTCACCCTCCAGGAGGTACAATCAGCTATTCAACTTTCTCCTGGTTCGAAAGCCCCCGGACCGGATGGCCTAATGGCTGAATTCTTTAAGCCTCTAAATGACCATATCTCCCCTACCCTAGTGTCCCTCTTTAACCATATCCTACACCAGAATAGCTATCCACCCATGTTCAGTGCTGCTTACATCCGCTTGTTGCCTAAAAAAGGGAAAGACCCCACTCTCCCTGGATCCTATCGCCCTATTTCACTACTAAACTTTGATGCTAAGTTGCTCTCTAAAATTATGGCAAACAGACTGGCCGTCGTGCTGCCCAAACTTATATTGTCAGACCAGGTGGGTTTTGTAACTGGTAGATCTGCTGTACTAAATGTCAGGAAAATCATTACTGCCTCAGAGGGAATACGGTTGTCTGGGCCCTCTCCCGCACCAAAGGCCCTTTTAGCGTTGGACGCGGAGAAGGCCTTCGATAACGTTAACTGGACATGGCTTTCTCAGGTAATGCATCGCTTAGGCTTCTCTGGGATGTTTCAGTCTTATATTTCCATGATGTATAGTTCCCCTTTGGCACAAATATACACGCCCTTGGCCCTGTCCTCCCCTTTTCGTTTATTCAAGGGCACCCGTCAAGGTTGTCCTCTCTCCTATTTAACATAGCGCTAGAACCCCTGTCCCGCTCCCTGGCCTCCAATCAAATATTCAGTGGCTACAAAACCGGCCCTTTTGATATAAAAATGGCCCTATTCGCGGACGATATACTACTGGTAGTGTCCGATCCACTGACAAGTATCCCCAACATTTTTAGACATATCAGCCTTTTTGGCTCCTTTTCCGGCCCTAAAATTAACATTAATAAGAGCGAACTCCTACCGTTAACCCCGGATAGGACCTACGTTGAAACCCTTATCCGCACACACCCCTCACTACAGATGCAATAGCAGTCCATTACCTACCTGGGGATCTCCATTCCCCGTTCTGCTAAAGATCTTTATTCCCTCAATTATAAACCTATCATCACTAAAATTGTCCAAGAACTGCGTGCGTGGCGTGACTATCCCGTCTCCCTTCTAGGTAGATGCCATCTCATAAAAATGATAAGCTTCGCAAGATTGCTCTACCCGATGCAAACGATACCCCTTCTCTTAAAACATAAAGACGTCCAACTCCTCCATAGTGCATTCTTGACCTTTCTCTTGAAGGGGAAGAGGTCAAGAATAGCCTTGAAAAAACTCCAACAACCGGTAAAGAGCCTAGGCGCCAACCTTCCTGAAATTAGGGCCTATAATTTAGCCAGCCTCTTTCGGCATGTGCGCGATTGGATGCATGATACCTCCTTCTTTACAAATACCCCCCTAGAGATCCAGCTGATGTCAACGTGGTCACCACTTGGTGTCTTGAACACCCCATTGAGGCTCCTTCCCACACCTATAAAGGATGACATCCTCCTCAGAGACACTATTTTAGTTTGGAGAGAGGTCAGAAAACTCCTATGTCTCCCCACGGTTCTCTCACCCTGGATGCTCCCCACCTCCTCCCCGATTTTTGCAGTAGGCAGGGAATCTTATGCTTGTCATTCATGGTCTGCTAAGGGTATATCTACCCTCGGGGACGTGTTTGACCCTGGGGGTCACTTCAAGACCTTCCGTGCCCTTCAACTCCAATACAATCTCCCCGCTACTCACACTTTCTCATATTTACAACTACGCCACTTTGTCTCCCATCACCTTACTCAGCCGTGGCGAGAAATAATCCATTCACCCATTACACCTCTATTATCATCTCCTCAGGTCAAAATGCCATTATCCCATCTTGCCAAATCTATTACTACTGCTGTACTTGCTTTCTCCAACGATAACCCATCCCACATTAAACGCTGGGCTGATTTCCTGCATATAACTGTTGAAGAAACGACCACGATAGTAGAACAGGGGTGGGGACAAGTTAGGAAAGCTATTAAATAACAACCAAAGAGAATGGGGCTTTTTAGGTGACTTCTAGACAATGCAGAGAGATGCCGCTATATATAATGACACGTAGCTCATTTCATAATAAATACATATTTAATAAATTAATATAGATTAATATCCTGGCTAGCAAACATTGAATTCATACAACGTAACACATTCATTAATGACAAGACCACATTACATGTGT